TGTCCAAATTTCTCAAAAATTTACAAATACTTTGCAAAGTTTTGCAAAGTTTATAAATTGTAAATTATATCAAATTAATTTATTTTACTTTTAACGCAATAAGGCAAAAAGGGCCACCCCTGGTGCTTCGGGCTTATCAACTCCACTCTGTTTCTGCTGCTGCGCAAGGTTGTGCTCCTGCAGCAGCAACAGCAGCAGCAGCAGCAGCAGCAGCAGGTGCTGCAGCCGTACTAGAAGCACAAGCAGCAGCAGCACGAGCAGCAGCAGCAGCAGCAGTCGTTCTGGCAGTGCAAGCAGAAGCTGCTGCTGCAGCAGCTGCCGCAGCCACACAATTAACACAAGAAGCAGTAGTATCAGCAGCAGCAGCAGCAGCAGCAACAGCAGCAGCAGCAGGTACCCATCAATCGGGTCTTCATGAATTGCTTTCGGCCACGGCAGCTCTTTTGGCATATTTTCTGCAAAAGAAAAATAAAAAAAACAAAAATAAAAAAAAAGAAAGAAAACAAAAGTAAATGGCAAATAAATAATAACTAAACGGAGACAAAAATAAATAAAACGCAATTGAGAGAAAATAAAAAATAAAAACAGAAGAAATAAAAAAATACAAAAATAAGAATAAATGAAAAGAAATGAGAGAAGTAAAAAGAAATAAAAAGAAATAAAAAGAAATAAAACGAAACGAAAAGAAATATACAAAAATAAAAATATAAATAATGCGGAAAGAAATAAAGCTGTTGGGATAAAAAGCAAAGAGTTATTTCTGGTGTACGTACACCCCAGAGGCGAAAACGAGAAACAAAAAAATGAAATAATTAAAAAATAACTAAAGACAAATAAAGTGAAGAAATGAATGAAATAAACGAATAAATAAACAAATACATAGATAAGTAAATGAACAAATAAATAAAGGAATAAATAAATAATGGTTAATTAATGAATTAATGAATTAAATAAATATTAAGTAATTAATTAATTAATTAATAATAAACAACATGCAACTAATTAATTAATTAATTAATTAATTAATTAATTAATTATATTAATTAATTAATTAATTAATTAGTTGAAAATAATAAATAAATAAATAAATAAATGACCTGGCCTGAGCACTGGGGGCACTCCAGAGTCTTTTTCGTAAGGCGGAGTGTCGAAGAGTTGAGGACTTTTTGAAATTAAATTTTTGTTTTCATTTTTGCTGCTGGAGATTAAGTCCAAAGATATTGAAAACACTGACTGCAGCAGCGAAGATGTGGGGCTTTCAGCTGCAGCAGCAGCAGCAGCAGCAGCGGCAGCAGCAGCAGCAAGTCGCGCTGCAGCATCAGCTCGCGCAGCTGCGGCAGCAGCGAAAATGGCAGCAGCAGCAGCAGCAGCTGATACGGCAGCAACAGCATCAACAACAACTAGTGCTGCAGCAGCAGCACAACCACCGCCACAGCAGCAGCAGCAGCAAGACAGCAGCAGCAGCAGCAGCAGCAGCAAAACAGCAGCAGCAGCAGCAGGCCTCCCCCGGAGGCGCAGCAGCTGCCGTTTTTTCAGGGGAATCAAAAGAAGGAGAGAAGCAAAAAGAAGAAAGTCCGGAATAATTGAAAAAAGCAAAAAGAAGAGAAAAAGAAATAAAACAAAATAAAATAATTAAATTAAATTAAATTTAATCCCCACATGCAGCCCCGCCAATTAAAATCAAACTTTTTCCCCGCGAAGACAAAAAGTCCACCGAGAGCCAATAGTGCAGATCGCCCGTGATGGGCGGCGTGGGGCCCCTGCGGCGCAGCAAAAAAATAAAAATAAAAAATAAAAAAGGAATTTTGAAATTAATTGTAATTCTTTTTCAGTTCTTTTTAGTTCTGCTTCTTCAGCTCCGCAAATGCTGCAGGAAAAGCCGCGAAGCAGCAAAAAAGGATACTTAGTTTTTGTCGAAATTCAATTTAAGTGCAAGTACGAATAAAAAGCAATAAATGAATAAGTCTGTATACAAATATATTTAGATACTTGGATCGATAAAAAGGTAAATTTAATTTATAAATAATATATACTGAGTCATAAATAACAAATAGTAAATAATAATAATCATTTAATTAAATATTTTTGTTGGTAATGCATGCGTTGAAGCTTTATGAATGCATCAGAGAAGACTCATGTGGAATAAATAATAATTAAATTTACAAGGATTCGTTTTTGTTTATTACTTTTAAGTTGTACTAATAATTGCCGATTTATAAATAGGTACTGTAAATAGTGTTTATCAGTAGCGTTAGCTGTTTGTGAACCCTAAATTAGGGCTTAGGGCCTCAAACCCTAATTTAGGGTTTTCATGTGCGTCAGGCCCTAACTTGGACTGTGAGAGCTCCAGAAGGTTGTTTTGCCTAACCCTAAAGTAGGGGCCTAGAACTTCAAGCAACGTGAGCTTAGTGTTTAGCGCCCCAAACCCTAATTAAGGGTTTAGCAGCGGAAACCCTAATTTAGGGTTTAGCGCACCTGAAGAAGTCGCTGGGGAGCACTATGGCGTCTATTGGATTGCTGAGGTCACGAATAGCAGCAGCAATTAAATCGGGGACCCAAGGCAGCAGCAGCAACTCAAAACCCCCGTGTTCTTTGCTGCTGCTCAGCAGCCGCAGCTGCTCCTGAGGCGCAGCAGCAGCAGCAGCAGCAGCAGCAGCATGAACTCTTAAGAGGCGAAAAAGTGATAAATGGAAGAGGCAAAAACATGGAAAATTAGACTTTGATTTTAAATAATTAATTAAATTTGCATTTTACATTTAAAAAAAAAGTTGAAATAAAAAGTAAAAATAAAAGGGAAAAATAATCAGCAGCAGCAGCAAGAAGAAG